TTAAATGAGCACAGGGGTAGGCCAATAAACAACAAAAGAGAGTTGTTCAATTTAAGACATTCATCGCTAAGGTCTAAAATTAAATCATCCTTTGGAATATTGAAGAATTAATTCAAAATCCTCACTGCAAAGCCACATTAACCTTTTCCTACCCAAGTTGATATAGTTTTAGCTTGTAGTATACTTCATAACTACATTGCCATGGTTGATCCGGGCGATGACTTATTGAATGAGAACATTACTATTAAAGATGATGATGGAGAAATAGTTAATGAGGGTGAAGATGACAATGTTGTTGACTTTACTCAAACTATGACACAAGGAGAGGAAAGAGATTTAAGGAATGAATGGAAAGAGAAGAGGGACCAAATTGTAATTGCTATGTGGGTAGATTATTGTAATAAGTATCGTGGTGGGGAAACTACTGAAAGTGGCATGTAATTTGCATATTAGTGTTCGCGGGGAAAATCGTTGCTTTCTTCATTGATTCCATTGCTATCTTTTACAACAGTTTATCGGTTACAAAAGATCCGGTCTTTTTATAAGATCCGGTTACAATGAAAATCAAAATAAAAATAAAGAAAGATTACAACTTTGTTTCCTTGTTTGTCGAACGAATCGCGAGCTCCTGTTTTGCGGTCGCTCGCTTTTGTGGGTTCTTTGCCTGCGCCGGGGTTGTTTGCCGTGGACCACCACGAGATCTAGATCCGGTCGGATCTACACAGTACTACGGGTATTATTTCACCAAGAAAATAATAGCCGGGGAGGATTGTTTCACCAAGGAAACAATCGTCCAAGTGGATTCTGGGGGTGGAGATCCACTCGAGTCTCTTACAGTGAAGGATAGAAAAAATTCTTCCTCTTCATTGTCGGGGATAGAATATAAATTCTCTCTCCAATTTAGGGTTGGCTTACCCAAGAGATATATATGATACAAAATCTGTGCTCAAGGTAGGGATGTCATCTGAATCCTAGAAGATATGTCGACACCTAAACGTGTGCAGGGTTTTGTCTTTTTCGCGTACAAAGAAGTTAGATCTGGGGTATTACTATCCTGAAACTGAAGCAAGGATAGTCTGCGCCTAACCGAGCTGCGTTAGTTCTTAAGGTTGAAGAATATTCGTCCACATATTCAACATTGTGGGGTTGTTTATTGAATAAACAAAATCCATGCTTAACACGATGGCCTGAATGTATCTATGATCCTAAGAAAGGATATGTCGAACTAACACGTGTCGCCGGGTTTAGTCTTTTACCTGATTGAATAAGCACAGAGTTCGATTCTGGGGTATCTGCATCCGAAGCTAAGGGGATAAGATAACGTACTATACACGTTGCCGGGTAGATATATACAATGGCGAGTTTGATACATATAGCAAGTCTAGGAATTTCAATCTCTAGCATAACGTTACATCGAACGGTATTTAGACATCCGGCCATGCATAACAGTCAACGGTGTCGGTAAAGGCTATAAATCGTTTACGGCGGGGTTGCCAAATCGATAAAGTCAACGCTAACACGGTCGCGCGGGTGAGTCTATTCCGCGAGGAAACGAAGTCTACTGTTTCGAAGGTCGTAGAATCAGTCATAAGGGGTTCTTCCTTTAGCATAACGTCACTGCAGACGGATTAAGACAATCGCATGTAAGCCGATCAACGGTAATGGTAATAGCATTGCAAACTAGTTGCAAGGCTGCGGATTTGCCCAAATCTAAGTCACGTCTGATAACGTTGCTAAGTTAGTCTTTTACAGAGAAAGACGAAAGTCTACTTATTCAAATATCGTGACTAAAGGGTTAACTCTTTTACGTAACGTTAATGCGGACGGATTAAACAATCCGCATGCTAGCCGCGCTCAACGGTATCGGTAAAGGCCACAAAAGTTTGAATGGACTGCAGGAATATATGCAAAAATACCATAAATTACAAAATAAGAAGATCCTGACGCATCAGTTCTTTAGTTGGTCTGTGAGCTGAGCAACATACGCATGTAAAACCCTAAGGTTAAAGCCGGGAGCACGTTACATAGGTCAACGCCAGCACCGCGTTGGATCAACAGTCACGTACGCGTGCAAAACCTAAGGTCAACGCGGAACGGCGTAACCTCTAGGTCAACGAGTCATGCGTTGCGATCAAATAAATCAACGTAGCGTTCAACCCTAGTCAACGCGGAAAGCGTACCTAGTCAATCGGTATCCAATGCGTTGAATGAAGAACACCATCCGAAAAGTAAGAAGTATACTGCTTCTTACACTGCCGAAGGTTACGAGTATAAACATTCCTATATATTGGTTGAGAAGTTCTGGAGTTTTTCATCTTAAGGATAAGCAGCCAAACTATCCGGGCACGGCGTCGGCAAAAAGAACGCCGAAAATCGAGGGTTCGTTACTGTGTTCAATCAACAAGCCGAGCTAAAAATCAGAAACAGGAATTGACTTCAGTTGCATTTTCCCGAATGAGTAGACAATAAATGCAGCATCGGAACTCTTGCGCATTTGACAAAGCACCGATACTGGAAAGAATTGAGTCAAGAAGGAGTCATTCCAGAGGTCACTTCACGACTGAAGATGGGGAAATAATATCCAAAGTATTAGACATTTCTATAAAAGACGAGACTGAAATACTTTGGAGGGGGTATCTGTAGCATATAAATTGCTTATAGGTCTTTAGCTCAGTCGGCACAAACTGGACGAACCAACGAGGAGACGAGATCGACGAATTGCATCAACGACACGGAATGCAATGCCATACACGAGAGATAGAGTAGAGAGTTCAACGAGTCTCAACAAAGCATACATAGAAATGAGATCGATCAGATCGGTTTAGAAGCTCAATCAGAAGCGGAATTACACTGCACAATCAAGAAGCATCCATTTACTGCCAAATAGATATAAAATAGAGACTAGCTTGATAAATCAGGACGAACAAAGCGGAAACACAAAAAGAGAAAGCGAGCACCTTCAAAGGGGTGGGGGGCTTTTCCCGGTTGGCGCGAGCACCAAGGTGGCTCGCATAGGCCGAGCACCCTGAAGTGCGCCGAGATTGTGCTAGACAGATATGAGTGCATAATAGGCTAGGCCTTAGGTTCATTTTTGAGGGTTGGGAATTTGGAGAGGCGAAAGCCCTGTGGATTGGAGACTCAGAAATTAACAGACTCAAGCTTTGGGACATCAGGCTTGCTCATCCAGATCTGGTGCTCGGGCGATCATCACGTCAATAAGGAGGTGTTCGAGAGGACGGATCTCAGATTCTCGCAGGTATACTCCGGATTAGCTTTGGGTCTTAGATCCGAGACTTGG